ATTGAGGAATTCATTTTCAATAAATGCTTAGGGAAATACCTAAATATAAATTATTTAACATTTAATAATAAAAATGGTAACATAAATTTGTATTCCATTTTATTCTTGGTCTTCCACTTGCATAATTCAGTTGAAACTCTTGGTTTCCTTTATTTTAATATTGGCTTCCACAATTTTTAGATGTATCTGTATGTGTAGTCTAAGATTTCATAAACTCAGGCCAGTCTTTATGTTTGACAATTAATGAAAGCCTCCAAGTTATAATAGATTTGGAAGGTATTTGTTAAAATGCATTAAATTTGTATGCCATTCTATTGATACTTAAACAAATAAACCAAAGCATTTCTATTGTCTATCTTTCCAGATAGACTGTGAGCTTCTCAAGAACAAAAGCCCTATCTCCAGACCTTTGCAGGATGTGAGACACATAGTAAGTGCTAAGTAAATATTGAGCAAATCAATTATAAATAAACTATCAATCAGAAGGAAGCTCCTTGATGACTGACCTTCAGTTTCTTTTAAGCAACTTTTTTTTTTTTTTTTAGTATAATGGTTCAGAGTAGGTGGCCTTTGTCATCACAAAGTGTGGTTTTGAAAACCACTTTCTTAATGTGTATTCTTATATAAGTTATTAAATTCTCTAAACCTCATTTTCCTCATCCTTAATATAAAGTGAGATTGCATGCAAAGTATTTAGCATAGTATCCTACACACAGTAATTGTTCCATAAATGGTGGCTAATATTGTACATGTGTTAATCTGTTTGTCTATTTCTGTTATATCTGTGATTTTTTAAGTAGATACTTATGGTGGCACAAGAGCTGATAATTTACCCTTTCCACAATTACACCAAGTCAAAAAGTGTAAAACTTAAACCTAGTAAGCTTTTGCTTATTGAAACTAAGCTTCATGAACTGCTCATCATTGCTAATTAAGTAGATAATTATGATTCTTATCATTGCAATAGATATATTTTCCTCCTGTATAAGTTGATTTTTTAAAACAAACCAGTTTATTTTTTATTAAATTTATTATTATTTTCTTTTTAGAAACAAAGTCTTGCTATATTGCCCAGGCTGGACTCAAACTCCTGGGCTCAAGCAGTCCTCCTGCCTCAGCCTCTGAATATCTGGGACTACAGGTGTTGGGCACCATGTGCCTGGCCCAAATAGTTTTTATGAATAAATTTTTGTGGATTTAAAAAAAAAATAATCTCCTAATGTATCTTTTATATAGATTAAGATATTTGATATATGACCTATGCTTGAATTGATATGTGTGTGTAGACATTTTATAATAAGTGTACATATTCAGATGTGAGGATGAAAGGAGAAGATCTAGTATATATTTCTAATGTTTTAGCTTCTGTAAGTAAAGTTAGTCATTTTAAATCCTTCACTGTTACTCTCTTTGCCTGTATAGAGTGACAAATACCATAATTCTTCTCTTTCTCTTTTCTTTACATTAATATTGGCATTTTCTGAGGATCTTTATGAAAGTAAAGAATGTAAGGAAACTCATTGAATAAAGAAACATATTCTAAAGTTTCAAATCTGACTTTAAAATTTCTTTTAATTTTGTTATTTATAAAGTTATGATTTGCTGTCAAAAATAAAAATGCAGGCCGGGCGCGGTGGCTCAAGCCTGTAATCCTAGCACTCTGGGAGGCCGAGGCGGGCGGATTGCTCAAGGTCAGGAGTTCGAAAACAGCCTGAGCAAGAGCAAGACCCTGTCTCTACTATAAATAGAAATAAATTAATTGGCCAACTAATATATATATAAATATATATAA